CCTTGCGCTTGCCAGGCAGGCGCTTTTTGCCGCTGAGCTAAATCCCCAGCCCCTCTCATGACGTCTTTATCTGTAGTTTTGGTCTCAGAGAGTGAGTTAGGAAATGTCTATTTCCTCTACGTCCATTTTCTGGAAAAGAGTGTAGAGGATTTGTATAACTTCTTCCTTACCCACCTAAGTCTGGTGCTTTGCTTTCTGGAAAGTTATAATAGTGATTTCATCTATTTAATAAATGTAGGGCCGTTGACTATACCAATTTCTCTTTCTGGAGTTTTGGTAGTTTGGCTATTTCGAGGAATTGGTTCATTTCATCTAAGTTATCAGATTTGCTGAAATGACATCATTCACCGTATTACCTTATCATCCATGACTAGGGTTGCCCCCTATTCCATTGCTGGTATCAGTCGTTTGGGCCGGGTGCTGTGGTGCGCACCTGTAGTCCCAGAAACTTGGGAGGTCGAAGCAAGAGGATCACTAGAGTCCAGGAGTTCAAGGCCAGCCCGGGCAGCAAAGCATGACTTCGTCTCAAAAAAATTCAGCCCACCCCTTCCCCCTTCCCTCCCTTCCCCTTTTGTTCTCTGTCAACCCCCTGCCCCCCCTTTATGTTAGTCTAGGTACAGTTTACCTGTTTTATTAACTTTTTTCGGCAAAACAACTGTTGGATTTGTTGATGTTGTTCTATTGACTTTGTTTTCAAATTTTATTGATTTCAATTTTTTTTTTTTCTGGTACTGGGAATTGAACTCACAACCTCGCGCTTGTTAGGCAGGCGCTGTGCCGCCGAGCTAAATCCCCAGCCCCTTGACTTCAATTTTAATTTTACTTCTTTGTTCTACCTGCTTTCGGCTTTCATCACTCTTCTTTCTATAGTTTCCGAAGGCGAAGGATGAGAGTCTGGACTTGCCTCTTCTGTAAGCGCTGATTTTAGTCTGTTCCACAGATTTTGATAACCTGTATTGTCCTTTTCAGTTAGTCTAAAATACTTAAAAATTTCTCTGACTGAGACTTCTTTGATCCACCTGTAATCAAGAAATGTGTTGTTAATCTCTAAGTACTTGGGATTTTCCAGCTATCTTTTGTTACTGGTGTCTAAATCTGTTGTGGTCTGAGGATCTATATATATTTTTGTGTGTGTGTGTGTGTGTGTGTGTGTGTGTGTATGTGTTTGAGACAGTGTCTCACTATGCAGTTCAGGCTGGCCTTGAGCTCACTTTTGTAGCCCAGGCTGGCCTCAAATTTACAATGATCCTCCTGCCTCAGCCTCCAGAGTTCTGGGATTACAGGCATGCGCCACCATGCCTGGGCTGAGGATATATTTATATGCCTTCTATTCTTTTAAATTTGATAAACTGTGTTTTGTGGCCCAGAATGAGGTCTGTCTTGATAAGTGTTCCTTGCAGACTTCAGACAATGTGTATTCTGTTCTTATTGGATAGAGTACTTTAGGCATATCAGTTAGATCAGGTTGATTTAACACAATCCTCTGTATCCTTACTTTTTCTTTCCTTTTGGGCCTATCAATTACTGGTAGAGGGGCTGAAGCCTCTTACAGTGAATTCAGCTCTTTTCTTATAGTTCTTTCCATTTTTGCCTCATGTATGCACTTTAGGTATTGCACCATCTTCTTGAAAAAATTGACCTCCTTACTATTATGTAGTAAACCCCTTTGGTTTTTTTTTTTGTTGTTGGTTTTTGGTTTGGTTTTTGAGACACAGTCTTGCTATGTTAGTTTAAGCTCTTCTTAAGTGACAGTCCTGCTGCCTCAGCCTCCTGAGTGTTGGGAATACAGGTGTCTGCCACCACCACCACCAGCATATACCTATTTTTTCTTTTATCCTAACTTTCCTTGTTCTGAAGTCTGCTTTTTCTGAGGTTAATTTCTTTTGGTTATTGTTCACAAGATGTATCTTTGTCCACCTCTTTACTTTTTAAAATTTATTTATTTATTTATTTATTTATTTTTGAGACAGGGTCTTACTCTGTAGACCAGGGTGGTCTCGAACTTACAGCAGTCCTCCTGCTTCAGCCTCCCAAGTGCTGAGATTACAGGCATATACCACCGAGCCCAGCTGTTTACTTTTTTTTTTTCCAGCTCTTTACTTTTAAACTATCTGTGTCATTGTATTTTTTTTTTTTTGATGTAGGAAATTTAATCCACTACAAACTAGGTTTTTTTTTAACTACAACATATTTTTGGAATTTTAGAAAATTCACTCTCAGTCTCTGTCTTTAAATTCATTTAGACCATTCACATTTAACGTGATTGGATTATATCCACCATGTTTGTAACTATTTTTAATGTTTCCCTTTTTTCTTTTATCTTTTCCCTTGCCTTCTCTAGTTTTAATGAGCACTTTTTATGATTCTATTTTATCTCTTCTCAAACAATGTCAGTTATAATTCTATGAAAGGATTTTTAGTGGTTGCCTTAGTTCTTGTAATATATGTTTACAAATAAGCTAAATCTAGCTTCAAATAACACAATGCATTTCATAGGTAGTGTAGGTGACTTGTAACAAAGTATTTCTAAATCAACTATCCCATTTCTTATCCATTTATTTTACTCCTTTCACTGATCCATATGCTATAATCACCCAATACATTGTTGCTCTTATTAGTTTGAGAAAAAAGTTATCTAGTAAATCTATTAGTAGTAAGAAAAATACAAGATTTTATTTTGCTTTTGTTTCTTTCCTGATATTCTTCTATTTTCATGTAGATCCAAGCTTTTTTCTCTTTCTTTTCTCTCCTTCTTTCCTTCCTTCCTTCCTTCCTTCCTTCCTTCCTTTCTTCCTTCCCTCCTTTCCTCCCTCTCTTCCTCCCTTCTCCTCCCTTCTCCTCCCTCCCTCCCTCCCCTCCTTGGCCCTGGTGCAAGCTAAGCACATGCTCTACCATGGAGCTATATCCCCAACTCTGAGCTTCTGATATACATCATTCTTTCAACATTTCTTGTAAAG